TCATAAAAACGATGTTTAAATTTGTTTGAGATTTCAATTAAAACTCTACGCATGTAACGTATTTTTGTTCTTAAGAGCTAAAATTAAGATTTTGATCGTTGTGTAGCATCTTTAAACTTTGACTTTATCATTTTGTTTCGTAATATATTGTAGCAAAAAATTGAGGAACATTTAGTTTTTGTTTTTTTCTTTTCGAAATCCATTAGTTAATTAGCCGTATATTAACTTTAAACAAATGCTGTGTTCGAAAAATAACAGCATATGATTAAATATAATTTCCCTAACATCCGTTTAAATTAGAAGACCTTTGTGTGTGTGTGTTCGAAACTAAATAAATAAATAGACTTGTGAAGCAATTAATTTGCTCTGCTTTAGCAGAAAACATTTAGAAATTGAATCAAGGAAAGCCACGAAGAAATAAAGGTGCAAGATAATGTGTGAATCGACGTGGCATTCGACTAAATACACACATGCCTACACACACACACACAGATACTATGTCCAACTGATGTGTAAACAACACAACCCACAGGTCTATTGAAATTTTGAAAAAAAAAAAAAAAAAAAAGAAAAACAATATGAATATTTTGTGAGGCTAACGTAGATAATAAGTGATATTAACAAAAAGAATACATCAATGAATATAAAGACCATCAACTAATTGTTATGTATGATCATAATTATATACATTTAAAAACATTGTAATTGAAAGAGTAATATTAAAAAAAACTGCAAAATATTTTGTTGATAAGAATGATTTAAAAAAATAGTAGTTGTCCAAACATTTTGATCAATCAATTAGTTATACTTTCAACATGAGTAATAATGTTCATCCAAACTTAGAAGCATTGGTCCTTTTATTTTCTTTGGCATCTATCACAAAAGGTTAATATTTTTAAAAATCATAAATTTTGTATCATGCCATAGAGATCATAGCTTTGGTCCAACTTTTGCTATAAAGTCAACTGAAGAAGAGGTATTAAATTAAAATAAATAATTAAATTAAATTAAAATAACAGACGGAAAGCACGGATATAGTCAGATATGAATATTACAACGTGCACCTCTGGGTTATATCGACTACCTTCTTCGCTTTATATAAGATATGTGGTAATATTTGGAAAATTTTGAAATGTGCGTAAGGTTCCAGTTATGTTGGAACATTTTAAGAAAATCGAACGCTTATTTCCAATTTTAAACGAATAATTTATAACAAGCAATTGTAATTAAACTTTTGTGGGGAAGGAATCAGAAGGAGGAGTGGCCGATATATTCCATTTAGATACTCTGCCAATAGAACTTGAGTCGAAGCTGGAGAGTTTCTAGTGTATAATTCGCATATGCTAATTTGCAATAAGTTCGAAATATATACTACTTTCCAGAGAACGGCCCTTGTAAGCCATCATCCACATCAAATATGCCTGATGAGCCGCTTAACCAACGGCGAAACGCGTCGCATAGTGGTGAGTGTGTGATAGTGTCTATCTGGCTTTCCTTTTCACTGCGAATTTCAGATCATTAAGCTCGTCTCGAAAGAGAAATCAAACACATAAATCATAAAACATATGATCTTCGCCTTAATAAGGCAAAACTATAAAAAATATAATTGATCAAAAAGGGGTGGGTTGCTTTGTGTCATTTATTAGTAAAAGAAGAAGAAGGACTATTTTGCATTTTATGATCGTTTTGGTTATTCAAAATGTTAACCCATTGTGTGGAGGTACCAGAAGAAGTCCGCCGATATATCCAATCTTCACACCAGATCTTGTGTTAATAATGTTATTGAGATGTGTGAAATTTTATGAGATCGGATTGTTATTTCGGTTTTTATGACAGACATAATTATTCTAAATTTTGACCCGTTGTGGGGGAGGTATTAGAAGGAGTGGACCGATATCTACCACCTACTTTCACAACAGATTTTGTGTTTATAGAAACATTTTCGCACTCACCAAAATACTGGGATTTGCAAAAGTTGAATGGATGAATAAATTTTGACTATTTGTAGGGAAGGTACCAGAAGGAGTAGACCGATATTGCCCATCTCCGAACTCGATGTAAGTATGATAATAAAACTACGATGTACCAAGTTTGTGCCAATTCGGATACTTCGAGATCAGCCAGCAGACAGACAGACTAACAGATGGACGGACAAACTCTAGATCGACTCCAAATGTCCTGAAACGGTCCAAAGATACCTAGGGTCTAAATCCGTTATTTTGATGAGGCACGTTTTGGCCGTATCAAATGATATATAAACTCTCTAGCCATATGGCTAAGGGTATAATAAGCATATCGGTCAACGTATTCTTATGGACTCCCATAGGACCTCCTCATTTTCAGTATTTTAAAGGTTTTTGCTCCATTTTCAAGCAAAAAAGCTTTATTTCAAAATTTGTAGGAATCGACTTTTTGGTGTAACCTTCATATAATGTTATGTCCGGCTTTTTGGTGTTTTTAAAGTTTAAAAACATGAAATTTGTTCTAATTGGACATATTACATATTTGGAGCACATTAACCGTGAAATCGGAAGAAGAAACTATATCTAAATCTGAACTGATCTCGCTCAATTTTGGCAAAGGCATTTCTGAGCTGTAACTGCTGTTTGATACTAAATATCATTGTTGTGGAGTGCGTATTACAAATACGAGGTATGTTAACCGATTTTTACCAAAAAGTCGTATATGCCAAAATCCAATCCTTTTGACTGATATTAACCACTTGGTTCAAAAAAAACCTGAAATCTGAACCAATTTTCATAGAACCGTGAAATCTGAACCAATTTTCATAGAATTTTTGGGTCTGGTACCAAATGTCATTGTTGAGGAGTGCATATTATGAATTCAAAGGATTTAAACATAGAATCGGGTGAAACATCTTTATGGAAGCTATATTTATACCTGAGCCGATGTTTACCACATTTCAAGTACTTGCTCCTAGGCTGAATTCGGTCGGATGTGCCGAAATACATCCTATTTGGACGAATTGACTCATATGGCGCCCAATAAAATTGAAATCGAACGAAGATATATATGTCAGCTATATATAAATTTGGACCGATTCGCACTAAATATTCGTCGTAGACCCCATAATGTATATATACTCATAATCAGCATAAAATTCTAAGACGATTTAACGATGCCCGTCTGTCTGTCCGTCCGTCTGTCTGTTGAAATCACGATACAGCCCACATTATTTGACGTAGAGCGCCAAAATTTAGCAGAGCAATTTTTATTGTGTCTAGGATGGTTGGTATATGGTTGGTTGATATATCAGTCCACGTTTTGGTATAGTCCCCATAAAACGGTACCTCCCGATATTCGGTATTTTGATGATTTATGCCACATTTTTTCACTGATTTGTCTGAAAATTGGTATTTGTAGGTCGTAACGGGTCCCAGTTCGTGTGGCGAAACATTGCATGTATAGGCCCACGCTTTGGTATAGCCTCCATATAACGGTATCTTCTGATATTCGTTGGCGAAATATTGTATGTATAGGTCCACGCTTTTGTATAGCTCTATATAGCGGTACCTCCCGATATTGGGTATTTTGATGATTTTTGCCACATTTTCCCGCGGATTTGTCTGAAAATTGGTATTTGTAGGTCATAATGGGCCCTAGTTCGTGTGGCGAAACATTGTATGTATAGGTCCACGTTTTGGTATAGCCCCATATAGCCGTATTTCCCAATATTCGGTATTTTGATGATTTTTGGCACATTTTCCAATGAATTTTTCTAAAAGTTGGTATATGTGGGTCATAATGGGCTCTAATGTTTCCTTTAATGTTTTTTTACTTGTTTTGATATTACAAATTTTGGAATCGGTACTACAGCCGAATAGCCGCCACATAACGGTTTTCATTTTTGTGGCATTTTTCGCCACATTTTTTTTTTTTTTAAATTTTCAATATCCTTCCAAGGGGTATTAAAAGTTCGGCCGGTCCGAACTTAGCTTCTTTTTTACTTGTTCAACCTAAAATTGACAAAACATGCATTTTCTCATTTAAGAAGAATTCTGACCATGAAATCTGTAGACTTCTGCAGTCTTGATGAAATTTAAATTATTCAAACCGATCATATAATCTCCTCCAAACAATCAAGTACCAATTTTCCTAACATATTTTCTTTATATTTTTGCTGGGATGAATTTATGTTCTCCGTTTTGTTTAGATATTCAATACAGTTTTAAGGCCACAAACAAGGCAGCAACAAATTAACTGAATATTTTATTTATACCGAATCGAAGAAAATTGTATTGCATTCTTTTATATGGAAAGGCGAAAAGAAATGGAGGGATCAGACGATTGGTTTGATGGAGCGAAAATATATCCACAACCCACATACAAATCTACACACACCGAGGTGGAGAGAAATATTTGAATCTTTTTTTTTTCGATATTAACGGAAAAGATAACAATAACAACAAGCAAGCAAGTTTTCTCGGAGAAAAACACACAAATTTTCTTTTTTTTTAATATAAACAATCAAACACACGCACATAAACACACATACACACAGAGAAATATGCGGACTGCTTTTTTGTATCTATTTCTGATTGAAGGCTATTTTTAGCCACTGTGCCCAGATACATAAGCGATAAAGTTTGTTTGTTGTATGTACGTACGTACGATGCGATATAGAGAAAATCGGAAAGAAGAAGATGACCAAAAAGATTAACACACGGAAAACACAGCCGAAAATGAAGCAATAGAATCGATCGGAAAAAAAAAAGAAATGCAAAAAAGATTTGAGAAAAATATTGAAAGGAAATTTAAAAGAAATCTTAGAATAATTGAGAGAAAATGGAGAAGGCACAGTGGGTTGTATGGGCGTAAATAGCGATGAAGAAGATTTCGATCAACCAAATGGGTGATCGATCGCATGCGCTTTGGCCAGGAGCGGGAGAGAGAGAGTGGCTGCGAACAAGTGAGTGGGAGAGCGAAAATATCCTACCATGCCGAAGCGGCAGCAAAATCAGCAGCAGTAATGACTTTCGTCATTGCCTCTGCCCATGGGGAAAAATGATCTGCTGCCATCCATTGACCAAAATATAGTCTGCCGTTAGTCGTCGGACCGTTCAGTCTTTTTCGTTCGAACAGTGCTTAACGAGTAGTGTGTTAGACCGCACACCTTTTTTAATTCCTTTAAGGTGAGTGCTGGTGGTGGTAAAGAACAAAAAAAAATAAAAATGAAGATATGGTGATGGCCAAAAAAGACTTGAAAATATTAGCTGGCAATGGAAATAAAAAATAATTTTGAAAAAAGTATTAAAATATGAAACAAATTTAAAAAAAAATAAATAACTGCTGAAATGAAGGAATATTGGATTAAAACCTGAGAAAAAACAGCTCCATAATTTGTTGTAAAAAGTAAAAAAAAAAAAAAATTAAATTGAAAAAAGGTGTTTGAATCTCCAAATCCAGCTACGAAATTAAACAATAAACTGTTGTATAAACATTATTATTTATTAAAATATTGTGTGTTTGAAAATTATGTAACCTCTGGTGTTATATTCGCAATAAAATTGAAATGAAAAATTCAAATCTGTTATACATACACACTTGCTGAACTCAAAAAAAAAAAAAATGAGTAGAATTTTCATAGATATACATATCAGCACGTACACATCGACGATTTTGCAATTTTGTCAGCTGCCAAAAAATATAAATAAAATATTTTTGAAAAAGCCAAAATTTTAAATATGAGAAAAAATTTAAAAATTGAAAAAAATCGATATTAAAATTTGTTTAAAAACAAGAAGACATTAAAAACAAATACAAAATTTTATTTAAAATTTTTTTGAATAATTTTATTTTTTAATTTTCCTTTTTTATATTTCAATTTTTTTTTAAAATCTCCTCAGCAGCATCTTTATTTATTTTGAAGGCTTTAAAATTAAAATATAATTCTTTAAATAAAAAAAGTTTCTCCTTTGAAAATTTCTATTAACTTAACTTGTGTGTATGTATTTGAAATCGAATTTCAAAATCTATTTTTAGTTCACTTCTACGAGACGGTATCCTATAACCAAAGAATTTTTAAAAACAACATCATTTCAAATGAGAGATGTTTGAAAGATATATGTGTGTGATAGATGTCTTATATGCATATCCACACATATGACTATGCATCTATCTGTGTGTGTGTCTGTGTGAGAATGCGTGGGGTGATCAGTTTTTGATTCCTCACAACGGTGTTTGTGACCTAGATACAATTCCATCAGAAAAACTACACCTTAACATTCTTATACTCAACCTGATTTCTTCCGCACACAGAGAAAACACCCACATAGCTTTAGCTCTCTCTATATGTATTTCTCACCATTTCTCAATAGCCACAAAATAGTATACCCCACAAGATTACTCTCAGCCAAAAAAAAAATCTATGTAACCAAATTCTCTCACCCACTTCCCCAACTTTTTTTCTTTCAAAAATCCCTCCCCATGCATACATATGTAGAAATATAAAATTTTTGCCCACGCATAGTTTTTTTGCTTTAAATATATAAATTTGTATAACATAAACTCTTATGCTCTTTCCAAAGTAGTCCTTCTCCTGAGAAAAGAGAGTAAACGATCTAAGAGAGCTAGAGAATATTTTCAATATCACAGCATCAATTTGTTTAAGAACCTGCGCAATCGACATCTTTTTCTCCGCCATATACGGTTGTGAGAGCTTTAAAAAAAACCTGAGATGAAAAGAGATGGCTAGCTAGAGCCATGGAGGACAAAAAAAATTATGATTTTGGAAATATTACGTTATATATATGTATATATTAAGCCATATATATATGTGTATATATATGTATATTATGCTTGGTGGTGATCTCCAAAAGATATTTTGTTACTTAGCCAATTTTTTTTTTATATACATATTATATATGTATATAAGACATATATGCATGTAGATGTGTTGTCCATGTGTATGTATGTTATGCATGGATAATATGTTGTTTACATTTTAGGAAATTTTATTTCGAAACATCTGTGCTAATTTAGATTTTTTATGGTTTTTGTTTTTATAATTAAACAATAATGACTTCATACTACGTGGGCTGTGGAATTTATTTTTAGTCCTGAACAATGGATTTTATCGTAATCGATTCAAAATCAAATCATTCAATTCAAAATCAAAGGTTTTTAATATTACCAACGATTGCCTTATGGAAAATACTCCCCTTTTCCAAGGTGGTGGTAGATAGGTGAATATGTGACCTACAATACCAGACTCTTTAAAAAATTGTTTTCAAGCCCCATTAGGTATACAATTATTGATTTTAAAGAATTCTCCCAACCTCCATTAAGGCTGCAATAATGAATTTAAATGAAAATTTCAAGCTACAAAACGTGATTTCCAATTTAAATTTTTGATTTTTAAGAAACAAACCTGAATTTTGAAATTTTGAATTGTTCAAGCGCCTATAAGTCAACAATCGTGGATTTCTTTTCAAGCACCAGTAGGTGTATGCTTTTTCAGCTTACAGAACTCGATGAGTTCTTAGTTGAAAGTGTGCTAGTGGCTTTATGACCATGATGATTTTTGGGAAAGGCAAGAAGTGAGTTTGATTCTCTATTATTACTTGAGAATGCTTGACACCTGAAAAACTTGCTTTTATCTAAAGTCGCCATATCAAAAATCTGATTATTCTTTTCGGCGATATGAAATCATGAGATTGTTAGCGATCAGAAATTGCAAAACTGTTATTTTCGTGTTGAAAAACATTACTCTCTGCATTAGATAGTACTATAAAGTTAAGCGAATGGGGGAATATACGAGACTCAAGCAATCAACTGTTTCAATCTTCAAAAATGACAATTTTTACAACCAACCATAGATGTAAGGTTTGGCCATGGGGTTTTTCAAAGAATTATTCCTCTACCAATGGATAAATCAATAGGTCAAGATAAGTGGACTTTTAAAAATTATTGGAAAATATAAAAAAAGTTTTCTAGCACCTAGCAGCTCATCGTGTATATTTTATAATTTTTTTTTCAAGCACAAATAGACCCACAATCGTGAATTTTTAAGTTTTTTTTTTTTCAAAAATTCTCAGTTCAACAAGTGTGGATTTTTGAAGAATTCTCTGCAGTTTTTCTCTGTTTTGAATTACTGTTTAAGCCGGAGCAGCTTGAAAATTTAAAAAAAAAAATCCATCCATACTGCTCAAATGAAAACCTTTGTATAGCGGCTATACGAAGACGTCGTGCTGAATAAGTAAATTTTTGTCATAAGCTGTAATAACGATTCCGAATTTGAAATACGAAATTTGGAAAAATTCCGGTGAATAATGTCGCTAATATCATAAAAATATTGAATAAATGGAGGTACCGTTGTATGGGGGCTACACTAAGTCGTGGACTTGCATTGACAATTTCCGTCATTACGAACTTCAAATATGAAATTTAACGCAATTCCAGTGAATAATGTGGCCAAAATCCTGCTATACTAAACGTAGACCTATATAGACAATTCCCTTCCAGAGGGTAAAGTATTCAGAGGAAACTCCTTTTGTGGATTTTCAGACTTTCCACTGAAAAATGTGTCTAAAATAACCAAAATACCGAATATCTGGGTGCTATACGATATCGTGGACCTATATAGAAAAATCTCTTTCAAGGGGTAAAGTACTCAGAGGGAACTCCTTGTGTAGAATTTCAGACAATTCCATTAATAATTTGCCCAAAATCATCAAAATGCCGAATATCGAAAGGCACAGTTGTATGGGGGATATACGATATCGTGGACCTATACAGCCAGTTATTTTTCAGGGGGTAAAGTAGTCACGACGAACATCTTTTGTAGAATTTCAGATAAGTCCATTGAAAAATGGGCTTAAAATTATCAAAATACCGAATATCGGGGGTACCGCTATATGGGGGCTGTACAATATTGCAGACTGATATAGCCATCGATATATACCGTCTTCGAACATGACCTGCCTGCAGACAAAAGACAGATCGGTGCAAAATTTTAGCTTCCTATCTTTATTCGTGTTGATTCTAGCGTGATTACAACAGACGGACGGACGGACAGGTCTAAATCGCCTTAGAATTTTACGCTAATCAAGAATATACTTTGTTGGGTCTAATATTACGATTTCGATGAGTTACAAACGGAATGACGAACTTAGTATAAACTCCATACTATGTATGGTGGAGGTTATAAAAATATTTCGGTACGGAAATCGGAAATCTTAGATTTTCTGGAACGTAGTTGTTTTTAATTTTTTTTTTTTTATTTTCAAATATATTTTCAAATTAATTATTTTAACAAATTTTTAAACTTTTTTAAATAAGATTTTTCGAGTTACTGTCCAATATATATTTTTCAAATTTAAAATATTAATTATGGATCCTTTCCAGAATTACTGCCTGGATAGCAGTGGTGAATTCTTCAATATTTCTTGTTAATTTTTTATATATTTATATTTTTTAGATATATTAGAAGTTATTTATTTTTTTATTCTTAAAACCCAAAACAAAAATATTTGATTATAATTATTACAAATATTTTATTATTGAATTCGAATAATTTACTAATTCCAAAATTTTCAAATCTCCCTTACAGACACTTCACCTAAATCACAAAATCTAACATGGCTGATGAGGAGGTGAGGTAAGTATTTGAAACCCCCAAGGGTTATTCAGAAATAAATATGAAATAAATCGAAATTTATTAAACATTTTTTCTTCTTTCTCTTTTAGTAATATTCAAATGCAACAACAACAACAATGAATATACGGATGAATTGCCACAAAGGGAAACATTGTGAAGGTGAATATCGAAGAGATTTTTAGAAAGAAAATATGCTTGCAATGCTTGAAAAAAAATAACTAAAGCTTTTTATATTCTATTTTCTTGGCAAAAAAATTCAAGGCAAACCAAGGATCTCCTTCACGCTGTAACTTAATGCTTATAACTGAAATCTGCAAAAAGGCTTTACATTTTGAATACAATAGAATTTTGATGATTCGGAAGACCAAATAATTTAAAAAGCTTTTCTCTTAAATCTCTTAAAATGAAATTAAATTAATTCAAGATCCTTACAGTGGGTTTCATCAACATTCTGCTGTATTTGAAATCCAAAAATCGCTTTTCTCCCGCTTTATTGTTGTTAATATTTTATTTTTAATGACAATTTTTTATTAATTTAATTTATTTTAAATTTTTACAGAAAAAAGCAGCGGCACCGGCACCAGCTCCAGCAGCTGCACCAGCGGCAGCCCCAGCTGCTGCTCCCGCGGCGGCGGCACCAGCTGCCGCAGGAGCCAAACCAGCAGCTGCACCCGCTGCTGGAGCAGCTCCTGCTGCAGGAGCAGCACCCGCCGCCGGAGCAGCGCCCGCTGCTGGGGCAGCACCAGCCAAAAATGGCAAAGTCGATGAGGTATCCAGCCCTAAATGTCTTGAATGTTTACGGTGAAGATCTTTGTCGTCCCGCATATATATGTCCATCCATGCTGTGTGTGTTGTTCCAAATGGTGTTGTGGATGATTTTCATCACAGTGTTTCCCTGTCCTCGGCCCCCCCACCTCCAATGGGCAATTACAATAACTCGTGTTTTAATTTTCTCCTCGTATAGGCAAAGAAGGCTAAACAAGCCGAAATCGAGCGCAAGCGTGCTGAAGTACGCAAGCGTATGGAAGAAGCTTCCAAGGCTAAGAAGGCCAAGAAGGGTTTCATGACCCCTGAAAGAAAGAAGAAACTCAGGGTAGGTTCAAGAAAATATAACTTGGTTTCATGGGCGTGGAATTAATGATTGTTCTCTTGCAGTTGTTGCTCCGCAAGAAAGCCGCTGAAGAATTGAAGAAAGAACAAGAACGCAAAGCCGCCGAACGCAGACGTATCATCGAAGAACGTTGTGGCAGCCCCAGAAACCTTAGTGATGCCAGCGAAGGTATGTTAAATCAGATCCATTTTCACAACTCTTTCTCTCTCGATCTCTATCTCTCTCGACTCGATTTGGATTTCGATTAAACCACAAAAAAAAAAAGAAAAAGAATTTTGTTCCAAAAAAACAAAAAACAAATGTCTCACATAAAAAAGAAGCACCCTATTTTCACACTTCACACAAATTAGTTTTTCTTTTTGGAGTTTTTGAAAACAAAAATTGAATTAGATATTAGATTTTTATTTGGATCTGGCTTTTTTTAGATGAAATTATCTTTACAAAAACAACCTATTTTAACTATTCTATTTTTCTATTCTTACAACAAAAACTATCTTCTCCCCACCCTGAAACAAACCAAACCACACCTTACCTTGTCCTCCACCGTATTATTATTGTTGTTATTATTTTTGTGTTGTCTACAGAGCAACTTAAGCAAATCTGCAAACAATACCACGACAGAATTTGCAATTTGGAGAACGTTAAGTACGACCTCGAATACGTTGTCAAGCGCAAGGATGTTGAGGTACACACAAATACTACTACCACTACTACTACTATACATACAAATACCACTTGCCAATTTACAAATAAACCAAGAATGAAAATCGTTCTGAAATCTCAGAGCATTTTCTTCAGCTCCACTGCCATTTGCCAAACTCAAAATAAAACAAAACTACTCAAAAAAATTAAAATTAAAACGCCACTGCCACCGCGCGCCATTTTTTCTATCACAACAAATTTATTTACTTTTTTTTAACTACAATTTCAAATAATTTTTAATTTTCAAATTTCAAATAATGCCAAGCACATTTTATTTGTTATTTTCTTTTTCTCTACTTTTTTTCTTCTAATTCTCTTTAATTTTCTTCTAAAAAACAAAACACTTAACTTGAGTTGAAAATATTTTTTTTTATGAAAATCAGAAAAAAAATTGCAGTCGTCAGACATTGTGTGTTGTTGGTTCTGAGCCAGTGGCTTTAAAGAAAGAAAGTCCGAGTTTAGGAGAAGAAGGGGAAGTAGCCCCTCTTTCTCCCCTATAGAGCCCTCATTTTTCCTAAAAAGCTCCCTGTGTTTGACTCCAATATGAGAAATATTGTAATGCCCGGGACTAAAGGACGAAAATTTTTTTCGGAGGAAATTTAGACTTTCCTTTTATTTTTTAAGAAATTAAAAATCTTCCTTACTCCAAAATTTATAATTTCTCCCTAAAAAGAATTGAGAATTTCTTTTTGAAACTGATTTCTGTAATTTTTAAACTGAAACTTAAAACAATTTCTAGAAAAAAATAGGGTTTTCTATTATTTTTCTTTTTCTTGAAATCTCATAATTTCACGTTTGGAATAGCCTCCATATAACGGTATCTCCCGATATTAGGTACTTTAATGATTTTAGCGACATTATCCACCGGAATTGTTTCAAATTTGGTATTTGAAGTTCGAAATGGATACAACAGCCTAAGACAGAAAACTGTCTGTGCATGTCAACGTCTTCGTATAGCAGCCCCCATATAACGGTACCTCCCGATATTCGGTATGGCTTTAGCGACATTATTCATCGGAATAGTTTCAAATTTGATATTTGAAGTTCGTAACGGATACTACAGCCTATGACAGAAAATTGTCCGGGCAGGTCCACGTCTTCGTATAGCCGACATATAACGGTTCCACTCGATATTCGGTAATTTGATAATTTTAGCGACATTATTCACCAGAATTGTGTCAAATTTGGTATTTGAAGTTCGTAACGGATACTTCAGCCGAAGACAGAAAATTGTCTGTACATGTCCACGTCTTCATATAGCACTCATATTACGGTACCTCTCGATATTCGGTATTTTAATAATTTTGGCGACATTATTCACCAGAATTGTTTCAAAGTTGGTATTTGAAGTTCGTAACGGATACTTCAGCCGAAGACAGAAAATTGTCCGTGCAAGTCCACATCTTCATATAGCCCTCATATTACGGTACCTCTCGATATTCGATATTTTGATGATTTCAGAGATATTATTCAACGGAATTTGGTATTTGAAGTTCTTAATGGATACTACAGCCTATGACAGAAAATTGTACGGGCAGGTCCACGTCTTCGTATAGCCGACATATAACGGTACCTCCCGATATTCGCTATTTTGATGATTTTAGCTTCAGTATTTTTTTAACAGAATTTTTAATGGATTTTATTTTTTTGAGAATTGCCAAATTCGTTCCAAATGATGCAGGGTATTCAAAGTTCGGCCCGGCCGAACTTACAGCTTTTATACATGTTTTTTTTTATATATATTAAATTGTTCCTATGTTATAAATTTTTCCTTTGTTTCCCATGTTGCAATACGAATTTTCTGACCTCATTATGACATTGTCTGACTGACTGCAACTTGTCCAATATAATTCTCATTTACTTCGGCTTGTAGAGGCACATGTTCTTCTATTTATTTTTCTTCTTAAGTTTTTTATGAACTCTCTTTCTCTACTCTTTTCTTATAATCTCACTTATATTTCTTATATCCAAAAAATAATTGTCAAGCAAAAAACTCAAGTTCAAGCACCTACTTTTTGTACAGAGAAAAATAAAATAGTTTTTTTAAAAAAAAAAACCAACAACAGCACCAAAAGCCAAGTTTTGTCACGAAGCTACGAAAATACACAACTGGTGGAAAGAATTCATATTTAAGTCCTATGATGTACTACTATTCTGGGGAAATTTTTATATATATATGTATAAAGTTACACAACACATTACACACACATATACACTACACGATCACAAACACACACCTATGTATGTATTTAGAAGTTTCATTCAATTCCCTTTTATGGGGAAAGAAAACAGGTTTATCTCCTCCCAAAGGTGTCGCATTACTTTTTTTAAGAATTGTTTTTTTTTTTTTCTTAAATTTTATCTCTGTGTCCACCTTAAATTCTTGTTTAAGGTATTGTTAAACAAAAAGCTCTATAATTTTTTGTTTATTTTTTGAAACATCATTTGTTTAGCTACCCTGATACAAATATGTAAAGACTATCACAATAAGATTATCGCATTGGAAGATCAAAAAATTGATCTTGAATATGAAGTTGGCCGTAAGGACTATGAGGCAAGATTATGTTTTCATTTTCTCATTTCAGTTTTTTTTTCTTAAATCATTTTCAAAAATTTAATAACTCTACTCAGCTACTTTTGAGGCCAAAAATAAAAACAAATTTTTGTAGATTTCGTTTATTTTTCTAATATAACTTTTTTCAAGCTGTTTCTTTTTTCTAAAAACCAAATTCATAAATATGTGTGTAGTATAATTTTTGGTGTTTTTTTTTTTTTCTTTAAATGTAGTTAGTCAATAACCCCCGAAAAAAAAACAAACAGCAAAAGCAAAATGTTCCCTCATTTAACCCAGTTAATAAACCTTGCTGGGCTTTTTAATTTTTTCTTTTTTTTTTTCTCTCAAAAAAGTATATTTCAAACGTTGCTTTCGACCTTTGAGACAAGGTGTCTTTTAATATTCTTATTTAAACGTTGCTCTTTCCAAGGGAAAAAAGCTCATATTTTTGTAAAAAAAATCCCCCCCTTTTCTGATGATAATTTTTTCCATTTACCAAGGACTTAATTTATTTATTTCCCACCACCACCACCAAGCTGTATATTAACTTCAAGTTTCACAATTTAATTTTTTTCCATTCACCCTAAATTTAAGTGATTTTTTTTTTTGGCTTATCAAAGCAGCTAACCATGTTTTTGCTTTTTGTTACGTTTTTTTTTTGTGTAGAAGCTTTAATTAATTTTTGAAAAAGCTTTTACTAAAGTTTTACTCAAAAAAAAAGATTTTTTTTAATTTTTTGGGAGCCAAAAATAAAAATTTTTCTGGTTTTTGTTTTAAGAAAAATTTTAAATTTTTTGGATTTTTTTCACCCACAATTTTTTGAGATTTTTTTTATAATTTCCATGTTTTTTTTTGTTATTAAATAATTTTCATTTTGACCCTCATCAACTCATTAATATCTAGGGACATCATTTTGCGTTATTTTCCTATATTCTGCACACAGAAAACTGAATTTTAGCGCAATTTTTCGCAGGACAAAATATTTATGAAGAATTTTTAAAATTCCCGCAGTGGTACTCCAAATTTAACTAACAACAATAATCTGGCAACTTTACCATTTCGAAAAAAAGAGGAATATGCCATTCATCTATCAATAACAAGAAATTCGTGATAAATTTTATGGCCTAGTTTTAGGCTTTTCTTATAAGACCTCCAAAACAGCAAATATTGTCTTTGTAAAATGATATCTGAAATCTACGATAAATCGATGAGTTTTGCCCTGAATAAGTTTACCAAATTAAGAACTCTCATTCACAATTGATCTACGAATTTCCAGTAGATATATTGTAGCATACTTTTAGGCAAATACAAGAAGTGTAACTACATGGCCACACATGCAATTGTGGATGATTATAATAATAAGGGTACCCTAAGCTCACGGAACTAAGAAAAAAAAAACTTTGAAATTGTATGGCCTAGTATAAGGCATACTTATAAGACCTCCAAAACAGCAAATATTGTCTTTTAAAATGGATGTCTAAAATCTATTTGATATCTATGATAAATCGATGAGTTTTGCCCTGAATAAGTTTACCAAATAATTGATTTATGAATTTTTATAAAAAATTTATAAAATTTCCGAATTCGTTCCAAATGCTGGAGGGTGTTCATTGTTCTATGTCAGGCCAAACCCAAATCGATAGTGGAATTTGGAATTGGAATTTTTGATTTATTTTTTTTTATACAATCTCAGGAAAATACCAGGGTTAGCCAAACCCAAATCGATAGTTGAAATAGAATTTTTGATTTATTTTTTAATTCCATCTCAGGAAAATACCAGGGTTTCGGGTAAAATTTTTATTTCAAAAGAAGCCAATAAAATTCATGAGGTTTCTGCGAATCTTAATTTCTATTCCCAACATTGTTTCTTGAGAGAAAAAGCCATTCGTAGAGAGATTTTTGAATTGAAGTACTTAATGTTAAGTAATTTTTTTACTTTGCAATTTATGAGGATTCGAGACCTTTCTACTTGTTTTTCCTTTATATATTTTAAAAAAATTTTTATGTGATTTTTTTCAATTAATCCTCTCTATATATACCTCCTCCCCCAACATATATTATTATTTTTGAAAAAATCTCGGCCATTCTGTCTGGGTACAAAAAACAAAAAACCAAAAAAACAGCCGAACTACAAACTGTATGCAAAGAATATTGGCAACGCCTTTACAAATTGGAGGGTGATAAATTTGATTTAGAGCATATTCAGAAAATCAAGGCACAAGAGGTAATTAAGCCAAAATTTGATACAAAAAAGAAATTTTGGTATTGTTTTTATATTCTTTTTTTAAATAATTTTTTTTTCTTATAAATAATCTTAATAATAATATTGTAATAATTTTTAAACCAAAACCACAAACTTAAAAAAAATCCCATAAATCTAAAAAACCAAAAATATTAAACCCAAAAAAAAAAATATTTCCAACAAAATG